ATAGTAAGTTAGGAATTTAATGAAAACATATTTATTTACTTTTGTTTCAACATTGGATATTTTGTGTTTGTGGTGGATTCAATCGAATATTGAGAAAATGATTTATGTAAAAATGTTTTACTTACATTTTACGTTTTTTTTATTTGACGCTTTTTTTTACAGTTTTATGTTTACCTTAAAATTACAAAGAAATATCTTAAAGTCTTATAATAGTAATACACTTTTATATTACGAGTTACATATTTAATTACAGATAATACTTTTTATTTTACGTACATCTGCATGTATTTTCTGAAAGTGCAAAAATACTGTAAATATTATATAGTAAATTTACTGTAAAAAAAAATGAAATAATCGTTATTTGTTGTTATTGTCAAAATACGTAAAATAATGTTTTGGGTTGTTAATTTATAGTTAATATCTGTCATTTTACAGGATTTTGCAAGTTATTTAAAAAAACATGATAATTACTATAAAAATGTAGTTATTTCCTGTAAAATTACGATCTTTTTTTACAGCGTAGATTATATGCATCTAACCCTAACTTAACCCTATTTTATTGAAAAAATGTGTTTGCACCACGATGCAGGGTTACCTCTGTGTGTTAGACTACCTTTTTGCTCCAGACTCAATGTACCTCTAATTTATGAGGAATACCTGGAGTCGTGCGGTGTATGGAGCACAGGTTATTGTTTTTTAAGTATTAGATTAATATTAGAATTATTTTAGTATTATTTGAATAATTGCTGGGGTGAGGGTGTATTGTGATAATGGCCGAAACACTCCCGAGGTCCACAACTGATGATGTGTCGAATACAATTATTATTTTTTGAAATCTAAAATGTATTTGTTTGAAATTTTAAATATACTATAATATTTATAACATAAAATAAGAATTAAAAAATGTATTTTAAATGTATAATCTAATCTAATATTTTAACATAAAATAGGATAACTAAAAAAATCGAAATATAGTACCTTATTTAACATCTTCTTTCACTTTTTACCCCTGTGGTTTACTCGAAAACCCCTCATCCTTTACCCCCACCCCCCGTTTCCTTCTCCTGGTCTACGGCCTCGTAGAGGGTAATGGGGTACAGAGATGCTTAGACAGGCAGGGGAGTGCATTTACGTAGACACGTTGTGCCTCCTTACCTCTGTCCCTTACCCTGTATCCTAATGTTCACCCTAGAGGGAAAGCGTTCTCTGATCATCTCTGTTTCTTACTATGTTCTTCCTACACCAGTGCTTTTACGTAGACACGTTGGGCCTTTCCTCTTGTACTTTGTTGCTTTCTACCCCTTTCCCTTAACTTATTCTAGGAGAGTGCATTTACGTAGACACGTGGTGCCTCTCTACGCATACTTCTTACTTTCTATTTCTGTTTTTAACTTTTTATTTATTTATTTTTTCACCCCTTTTCCCTCAAACTATTTCAGGAGAGTGCATTTACGTTGTGCCTCTCTGCTTATACTTTTGACTTTCTTTCCCTTTGGGGAGTGCAATTACGTGAAGGTTAGACACGTTGTCCCTCTTCACTTGTGTCCCTCTTCACTTTTGTCCCTCTTCACTTTTGTCCCTCTTCACTTGTGTCCCTCTTCACTTTTGTCCCTCTTCACTTGTGTCCCTCTTCACTTGTGTCCCTCTTCACTTTTGTCCCTCTTCACTTGTGTCCCTCTTCACTTGTGTCCCTCTTCACTTTGTCCCTCTTCACTTGTGTCCCTCTTCACTTGGGTCCCTCTTCACTTGTGTCCCTCTTCACTTGGGTCCCTCTTCACTTGTGTCCCTCTTCACTTGTGTCCCTCTTCACTTGTGTCCCTCTTCACTTGTGTCCCTCTTCACTTGTGTCCCTCTTCACTTGTGTCCCTGTCCCCTTCTCATAATTTCCACCCTATTCTAAGGGGAAGCATTTACGCGATGTGGTGCCTTTTCATTTCAGTTTCTTACTTTGTATTTCTTCACCCCGTTAACTGTTTTAGGAGAGTGCATTTACGTAGACACGTTGTGCCTCTCTTCCTCTGTTTCTTACTTCTCTCTTCCTACCCCTGTCTCTCAGACCTATCCTAAGGGAGCAGACACGTTCTGCCTCTCTATCTCCGAGGGTCAAAGTTCATATGGCGAGGGATTCCTTTGAGCGACATGCGCCGGCCCGTGCCTTACCTTGGACTTCTAATAGAACTGCTCGGGTCTTGATAGATTGAGTGGGGAAGTTCAGGAGATATTTGTGGAAAAAAATGCCTCTGCCCTCGGACAGCCTGGTTTCTCCTATTCCAACTTGGCTTTGACTCTTCTCTCTGTTCTTATTAGACTGGTTTTACAGGTACTTTTTAGCTAATATATATACTTTAACCTTGCAGCTCTGACTTTTGTGCCTAAATCTAAGTCCTAGATTATATGCATCTAACCCTAACTTAGTGTCAGTGAGGAACCAGTGTAAAGACTTCAGAACTGGACTGATGTGATCCACTTTCTTAGTGTTAGAAAGTGGATCAGTCCGGATCTGAAGTCTTTACACTGGTTCCTCACTAACACTAAGAAAGTGGATCAGTCCAGTTCTGAAGTCTTTACACTGGTTCCTCACTGACACTGAGAAAGTGGATCAGTCCAGTTCTGAAGTCTTTACACTGGTTCCTCACTGACACTGAGAAAGTGGATCACATCAGTGTAGTTCTGAAGTCTTTACACTGGTTCCTCACTGACACTAAGAAAGTGGATCAGTCCTGTTCTGAAGTCTTTACACTGGTTCCTCACTAACACTAAGAAAGTGGAACAGTCCAGTTCTGAAGTCTTTACACTGGTTCCTCACTAACACTAAGAAAGTGGATCAGACCAGTTCTGAAGTCTTTACACTGGTTCCTCACTAACACTAAGAAAGTGGATCAGTCCAGTTCTGAAGTCTTTACACTGGTTCCTCACTGACACTAAGAAAGTGGATCAGTCCAGTTCTGAAGTCCTTACACTGGTTCCTCACTGACACTAAGAAAGTGGATCAGTCCTGTTCTGAAGTCCTTACACTGGTTCCTCACTGACACTAAGAAAGTGGATCAGTCCAGTTCTGAAGTCCTTACACTGGCTTCCTGTGTGTCAAATAATTGATTTCAAAATACTGCTGCTGGTTTATAAAGCTTTGAATGGTTTAGGCCCAAAATACATGTCTGACCTCCTGCTAAATGATGAACCATCCAGATCTCTCAGGTCTTCAGGGACTGGTCAGCTTTCTGTCCCCAGAGTCAGAACTAAACATGGAGAAGTTCAGTTATTATGCTCCAAACATCTGGAACAAACTCCCAGAAACCTGCAGGTCCGCTGCAACTCTGACTACTTTTAAATCCAGGCTGAAGACTTTTCTTTTTGCCGCTGCTTTTAATTGAACTATTCACATCTTAAACTGCACTGTAACTTTTATCCATGTATTTTTTCTTTTAATGTTTATTTGATTATCTTTTCTTTTTAATGACTGATTTTAAAAGCCATTTTCTGAATGTCTTTTTGTAACTCAAGTCATGACTCAGCAGAAACACTGGCTGACCCTTATCTTCAATCTACAGTTTGTTTGTTTCTAGGACTTTGCACTGAACACATTTTGGACGAACAGTTCAGTTTGTGTTCAGATCAATACTTTAGTTAGCGTGTGTGTGTGTGTGTGTGTGTGTGTGTGTGTGTGTGTGTGTGTGTGTGTGTGTGTGTGTGTGTGTGTGTGTGTGTGTGTGTGTGTGTGTGTCAGCAGAGGATAAAGGTCCAGCTACTCACTGTCACACTAAGTGAACACCAGAGAGATGAGGGTTTACCTGCTGCTGCTGCTGCTGCTGCCGCTGTGCTCTGGAGGTACAAAAACACTTTACTAACTGATGGTTCAATGATTATTTCAAATGCAGGTAAAAAAACAAACCCAACAAGTGAGATTGAAAATGTATTTTCTTCCGGTAACTGGTCAAACTGATTTATAATTATTCGGGTGGACCACGTGTTTGTTACCTTTCAGAATGGGTGTGAACCCGTTTTATTCGATCTCAGACATGTGTGTAAGGTGCGTTTGTGTTGCAGCTCCGACGTTTAGCATCCAGTGTTACGGAGAGGACTTCCTGATGGTCAACAACATGTTGCTGGACTGTAACGGGAAGGTTCCTCAGGCCTGCTACACCCGGGGTGAGTACTGCTTTATGTCAACTCTGTTTAAACTTTAAACTACAACCATGAGTATGTGTGATGTCCAAATATGGATTTAAGAAGATCTTCAGATTGTGGAAATAACACAAAATAGAAAGGTTTCTGATCGTCGTTTATGTCTCATTGTCAATACAAAGTCAAAGTTGAGTCTTTCAAACATCATGCTTTGTAAGATGAATTAAGTCGTAGACACACTTATTTTAATGGTACCCCGACTTTCACAACTTCACGACTTTCCTCTGAACAATATTACACTTTCAATGCCTTTGGAGGGTTATCTCTGTCTGATGATGCGTTTCCTGTTTGCTGTGGCAGGTAACGGAGAGAAAGGCTGCACTCGGCTCGACTCATGTAATCAACCTGGATGGAGCTGTTGCCACACCGACCGCTGCAACGCCTGAGCCAATGACAGCCCAGGAAAGGGACATCATCCAAACACATGACATTAAATAAAGCCAGGATAATTTCCCATGATGCAACAGTTTGTGTTTTGTTTTGTGAGCTCAGTGTGTAAATTGGTTTCTGGACTTTGAATCAAGGCTCGATGTTTCTGTGAAATAATATTTGGCAAGACTCTTTAACCCTTTTAGTTCAAATAAACTGCACTCTGGGTTTATACAATATAAAATCTAATTTATGAAGTTCCCTAACATCACAGATATGATTATTCTGCTGAACGCCAACACTAGTGGCTCTGTGGTGCATTCAGGCACACCTCGCATGGTCCACCTCCCAGGGTCAGTCTTTCACAAACCCTTTTCTCTGATTCTTGCCACACCACATGAAAGCTGCTAAAGGCTAATATGCTAACAGAGACAGGAGAGAAGCTGGAGTCCGGTTTTAACATTTATTTGCATTTTTTTGTTGAAATCTTCAGTACAGTCTGTCGTCTGACAGGAATGCATTTGAGAAGACATGATTGGCTCAAAACAGTCACATGAACGTTGTCATGGTTACCGAACACTGTAAAATAAACAAACAGACCCCACCCATCGCGTCACCCCCCCCCCACATAACCCCGCACCCCAGAGGGCAGATTAGAAAAAATGATGACATGGAAGATGGAGATATAAAGGTTAAAGATATAAAAGATAAGTGAATGGACAAATCAAAGATGGAGATATGAAGATATGAAGATATGAAGATATGAGATGGAGATATGAAGATATGAAGATATGAAGATATGAGATGGAGATATAAAGGTAAAAAGTATTAAAAAGGCAAAACATTAATGACCCCCCCGTGGGGTGATGACATTCAGAACAATAAACAGAGATGGTCCATAAGAAACACAGATCAGCAGTCACTCAATCAGTCACTGAAAACCAGCCAATCAGAGAGGAGCAGCTGTCCTGGCCCCTAATTGGCTGAGAGATGCGAGAGTTGAATGTGGTTTTTACAGTGTAGCTGAGGAGCTGCTGCCCCCTGGTGGTAACAGAAATATACACAGATCTCTGCAGCATATACAAACTGACATGAAATCACCGATCACAGTTTCTCTGGAGCTCCTTCAGGTTTTATTCTGAAGGCCCTCCTGCGTCCACTGGCCAGACGTGTTCAAATGTTCCCAGCATGCTTCTGGGTGTGGTTCATGTTTCCTGCATGTTTCACATTAAAAGCCTCCCGCAGTTCTGTCCCTTCCCTTGAGGGCTTTTATTGTGAAATGTCTATAAAAATGTGGCAGTTTAACAAAATAAAAGCCCAACAAAGTCCAGAATCAGTTTCCTGTTTTAAACTTCCTGCAGCTACTTCTACGTCATAAACAGCAATGTCCCAGTATTTCTAAAACAACATGTAAAGAGAACCAGTTTCTGAAACTCATTTAAGACTTCAGGTCCACTTCCTGTCTTACTGCTCTGCTCTGATTGGAGAAAAAGTTACCCGAGGTCACACACATACACTGAATGTCCAATCACAACGTCTGGCTGGTCCTCACAAAGATAGCTGTACCAACAGTCACACACACTATTAAGAGGTGAGGGGGGGTAGCCCCTCGTCGCTGGGCGTTGCCGTGTCGTCGCTCGGATCCAGGCTGTCCTTCAGACTCACACTGCTGTCAGAGGGGGGTGGGGTCAGAGCTGAGGGGGGCGGGGTCAGAGCTGAGGGGGGCGGGGTCAGAGCTGAGGGGGGCGGGGTCAGAGCTGAGGGGGCCGGGCTGTCTGGGGAGGGATCCTGGGTCCCATTGGCTGTTGGGGCAGAGATGGGTTCCTGTGTGGGCGTGGTCACTGATAGAGGGGGCGGGATGAAGTCAGGGGCGGAGTTAGAGAGCTGTCCGTCAGGGAGGGAGAGTCTTTCCACCAGGCGCCACTGCATGATGCTGGTGTCTTTCCCCCCCGTGGAGACCAGGTGACTGTCGTTATACAGGAAGCTCACGTTGGTCACATGACTGCTGTGAGCGCTGTACTTATGGCTGGGAGCCTGCGGGGAAACACACACCTCAAACTCATTAAACCTGTATAATGGGAGCCCTGTGTGTGTGTGTGTGTGTGTGTGTGTGTGTGTGTGTGTGTGTGTGTGTGTGTGTTTCTCACCTTGGGGGTGGAGCATGGGTAGGCGAACAGGTGAACTTTACAGAAGTCGTCTGCCAGAGCGATCACCTTCCTGTTGTGAGATCTGATCAGAGCGTTGATGTCGGTGCCGTCTGAACCCTCGGGCCAAACACCTGACACACACACACACACACACACACACACACACACACACACACACACACACACACACACACACACACACACACACACACACACACACACACACACACACACACACACACACACACGTGTTATTTTAACTTTAAATGTACAGGTATAAGGGTGTTCTGAGTGCACAGGTGTACTGAGTGCACAGGTGTACTGAGTGCACAGGTGTAAAGGTGTTCTGAGTGCACAGGTGTAAAGGTGTTCTGAGTGCACAGGTGTAAAGGTGTTCTGAGTGCACAGGTATAAGGGTGTTCTGAGTGCACAGGTGTACTGAGTGCACAGGTGTACTGAGTGCACAGGTGTACTGAGTGCACAGGTGTACTGAGTGCACAGGCATAAGGGTGTTCTGAGTGCACAGGCATAAGGGTGTTCTGAGTGCACAGGTGTAAAGGTGTTCTGAGTGCACAGGTGTAAAGGTGTTCTGAGTGCACAGGTGTAAAGGTGTTCTGAGTGCACAGGTATAAGGGTGTTCTGAGTGCACAGGTGTACTGAGTGCACAGGTGTACTGAGTGCACAGGTGTACTGAGTGCACAGGTGTACTGAGTGCACAGGCATAAGGGTGTTCTGAGTGCACAGGCATAAGGTGTTCTGAGTGCACAGGTGTACAGGTGTACTGAGTGCACAGGTGTACAGGTGTACTGAGTGCACAGGTGTAAAGGTGTTCTGAGTGCACAGGTGTACAGGTGTACTGAGTGCACAGGTGTAAAGGTGTACGGAGTGCACAGGTGTAAAGGTGTTCCGAGTGCACAGGTGTGCAGGTGTACTGACCGAACACGTGGTAGCCCAGTACGCAGGTGTAGGTGGCCCAGTCGATGTCTTTGCACTCGGAGCGATTTCTGATCAGCTTACAGCCGTTTGGAACGTCCCCTAAAAACACACAACTGTTACAGGATCTCACTGCAGTGATACACAATAACAACACAGTACTCACAGTACTCACAGTACAGGATCTCACTGCAGTGATACACAGTACTCACAGTACTCACAGTACAGGATCTCACTGCAGTGATACACAGTACTCACAGTACTCACAGTACAGGATCTCACTGCAGTGATACACAGTACTCACAGTACTCACAGTACAGGATCTCACTGCAGTGATACACAATACTCACAGTACTCACAGTACTGGATCTCACTGCAGTGATACACAGTACTCACAGTACTCACAGTACAGGATCTCACTGCAGTGATACACAGTACTCACAGTACTCACAGTACAGGATCTCACTGCAGTGATACACAGTACTCACAGTACTCACAGTACAGGATCTCACTGCAGTGATACACAATACTCACAGTACTCACAGTACTGGATCTCACTGCAGTGATACACAGTACTCACAGTACTCACAGTACAGGATCTCACTGCAGTGATACACAGTACTCACAGTACTCACAGTACAGGATCTCACTGCAGTGATACACAGTACTCACAGTACTCACAGTACTGGATCTCACTGCAGTGATACACAATAACAACACAGTACTCACAGTACAAATAATAATAAATTCTATTTATATAGCGCTTTTCTAAACCCAAAGACGCTTTACATTTGGGGAAGGGTAGACAGACAAGGACAGGCAACAAAACAACAACAAAACAAAACAAAAACAAAACAGAGAAAACCAAAAAAAAAACAGAAAGCAGTCAGGAGGAAGTGGGGGGTGGGGGGGTGGGCTTATGGGTATACAGATTTGAAGAGATGGGTTTTGAGGCGGGACTGGAACAGGGTGAGGGACTCGGACTCACGGAGGTCTTGGGGGAGGGAGTTCCAGAGCTTCGGGGCTGCCACAGAGAAGGCTCTGTCCCCAAAGCTCCGGAATTTGGCCTTGGGGATGGAAAGCAAACCGGCTGAGGTGGATCTGAGGGACCGGGGTGGTTGGTAGAGGATGAGGAGGTCAGTGAGGTAGGGGGGGGGCCTGGTGGTGGAGGGCTTTGTAGGTGAGTACCAGGAGTTTGTGTTGGATGCGGTGTGAAACGGGGAGCCAGTGAAGTTCTTTGAGGACCGGGGTGATATGATGCCATGATTTGGTGTGGGTGAGGAGTCTGGGGGCTGCGTTCTGGACACGCTGAAGTCTATTGAGGGATGTAGTGCTGATGCCGTAGAGGAGTGCGTTGCAATAGTCCAGGCGGGAGGAGATGAAGGCGTGAATGAGTCGCACAGCTGCAGGGCGGGTGAGAGAGGGACGGAGTTTGGCGATATTGCGGAGGTGGAAAAATGAGGTTTTAACAACTTGGCGGATGTGGGGCTCGAGGGAGAGGGTGGGGTCAAATATCACGCCAAGGTTGCGTGCCTGGGTGGAGGGGGAAACAGGGGTGCCATCGATGGTGAGTGTCAGGTTGGGGGTTTTGCTGAGGGTGGATTTGGAGCCGATGAGGAGGAGTTCAGTTTTATTGCTGTTGAGTTTGAGGAGGTTGTGTGCCATCCAGGATTTTATAGCAGTCAGACAGGATTCGATGTGGGTGAGGGGGGGGGTTGTGGGGGGATTTGGTGCTGAGGTAAATCTGTGTGTCATCAGCGTAGCAGTGAAAGTCCAGGTTGTAGTGGTGTAGAATCTGACCAAGGGGGAGGATGTAGATGATGAAGAGGAGGGGGGCCGAGTACTGAACCTTGGGGAACACCTTGGGTGACTGAAGCTGTGGCAGAGGAGTGGTTGTTGAGGGAGATGAAGTGGGATCTGTCGGAGAGGTAGGACTGGAGCCACCTGAGTGCAGTACCTTCGATACCGATGTCCTGGAGTCGGGTGAGCAGGATGTTGTGGCTCACGGTGTCGAAGGCTGCACTCAGGTCGAGGAGGATGAGGATGTTGAGTGAACCGGTGTCAGCAGAGGTGAGGAGGTCGTTGAGGACTTTGGTGAGTGCCGTTTCTGTGCTGTGATGGGGACGAAAACCAGACTGAAGGGGTTCAAAAAGGTGATTTGTTTGGAGATGGCGGTGGAGTTGTTTGGAGATGATACGTTCTATTGTTTTTGAGAGAAAGGGGAGGTTGGAGATGGGGCGGTAATTACTGAGGGAGGAGGGATCCAGACCGGGTTTCTTGAGGATGGGAGTGACAGCAGCAGTTTTGAAGGCAGAGGGAACGGTTCCTTGGGACAGGGAGGAGTTGAAAAGGTTGACAAGGTAAGGGCAGAGGACGGGGAGGCAGGACTTCAGTAGAGGGGTGGGTAAGGGGTCAAGCGAGCAGGTTGTGGGTTTGGAGGAGCTGATCAGTTTGAGTATTTCAGGGGGGGTAACCAGAGTGAACTGGGAGAGGCGGCCGTGGGGAGGGGGGCTCGGGAGGTCCAGGGAGATGGAGGGAGAAGTTGTGGCGGTGGGTGTTGGGGGAGATGTTTGTGTGTGAGAAGCAGTGGATAGGGAGAGATTAATGGCAGTGATTTTGTCAGAGAAAAACTGGAGGAATGAACTGCATAAGGTGGAAGTGGATGAAGAGAGGGTGTCAGCACGGGGTTTGAGGAGCTTGTTGACGGTGGAGAAGAGGGTCCTGGGGTTACGGGAGGGGTCGGTAAAGATGGTGGAGAAGTAGGCAGATTTTGCGGCAGTGAGGGCGTCTCTGTAGGTAGTGAGATGGAGTTTGTATGATTCATGGTGAACTGTGAGGGATGATTTCATGGATAGGCGTTCAAGCTGGCGGCCGGTTTGCTTCAATTGGACAGGATCTCACTGCAGTGATACACAGTACTCACAGTACTCACAGTACAGGATCTCACTGCAGTGATACACAATAACAACACAGTACTCACAGTACAGGATCTCACTGCAGTGATACACAGTACTCACAGTACTCACAGTACAGGATCTCACTGCAGTGATACACAGTACTCACAGTACTCACAGTACAGGATCTCACTGCAGTGATACACAATAACAACACAGTACTCACAGTACAGGATCTCGTAGTCTCCCGAGTTGGACATGATGAAGTTGTTGTCAGGTGACCAGTCCAGGTGTGTGATGTAGCTCGAATGTCCCTGTGAACACATCCAGGTGACCCATGAACACACCTGACCTTCATCATCATCATCATCATCATCACCATCCTCACCATCATCATCATCATGAATCATTAAAGTGCTTGTCAGACTAGATGAATCATTAGGGTGCTTGTCAGACTGGATGAATCATTAGGGTCCTTGTCAGACTGGGTGAATCGTAAAGGAAGTAAAGGGACTGACCGAGCACTTCCCGTATCGGCTGTACTTGCGTCCTCTCTCGGAGACGGTGTAGAGGTAAATAAGGTTATCGTGAGATCCAACCGCCAACAGAGCACCATCTGCAGACACAAACAGAGAGGGGCATTGTGGGTAATGTAGTTCACTTCTCGCAAAGCATGATCATGAAAACTGGATGATGTCACCCACCGACAGAGAAGCGCATCACTGACAGCTGCTCGTTACCATCCGTGTGGATAGACACCAGGTCTGTGGTGTCTGCGTCCAGGACGTACCACCTGAGAGACAGACAGGTGAGAGACAGGTGAGAGACAGGTGAGAGACAGACAGGTGAGAGACAGGTGAGAGACAGACAGGTGAGAGACAGACAGGTGAGAGACAGACAGGTGAGAGACAGGTGAGAGACAGGTGAGAGACAGACAGGTGAGAGACAGGTGAGAGACAGACAGGTGAGAGACAGACAGGTGAGAGACAGGTGAGAGACAGACAGGTGAGAGACAGACATGTGAGACAGGTGAGAGACAGACATGTGAGAGACAGGTGAGAGACAGACAGGTGAGAAGACAGGTGAGAGACAGACAGGTGAGAGACAGACATGTGAGAGACAGGTGAGAGACAAGACAGGTGAGAGACAGGTGAGAGACAGACAAGTGAGAGACAGGTGAGAGACAGACATGTGAGAGACAGGTGAGAGAAAGACATGTGAGAGACAGAAAGGTGAGAGACAGGTGAGAGACAAGACAGGTGAGAGACAGGTGAGAGACAGACAAGTGAGAGACAGGTGAGAGACAAGACAGGTGAGAGACAGGTGAGAGACAGACAAGTGAGAGACAGGTGAGAGACAGACAAGTGAGAGACAGGTGAGAGACAGACATGTGAGAGACAGAAAGGTGAGAGACAGGTGAGAGACAGGTGAGAGACAGACAGGTGAGAGACAGGTGAGAGACAGGTGAGAGACAGACAGGTGAGAGACAGACATGTGAGAGACAGGTGAGAGACAGGTGAGAGACAGACAGGTGAGAGACAGGTGAGAGACAGACAAGTGAGAGACAGGTGAGAGACAGACAGGGGAGAGACAAACAGGTGAGAGACAGGTGAGAGACAGACAGGTGAGAGACAGACATGTGAGAGACAGGTGAGAGACAGACAGGTGAGAGACAGACATGTGAGAGACAGAAAGGTGAGAGACAGACAGGGGAGAGACAAACAGGTGAGAGACAGGTGAGAGACAGACAGGTGAGAGACAGACAGGTGAGAGACAGGGGAGAGACAGACAGGTGAGAGACAGACAGGGGAGAGACAGACAGGTGAGAGACAGACAGGTGAGAGACAGACAGGTGAGAGACAGGGGAGAGACAGACAGGTGAGAGACAGACAGGTGACAGACAGACAGGTGAGAGACAGACAGGTGAGAGACAGGGGAGAGACAGACAGGTGAGAGACAGACAGGTGACAGACAGACAGGTGAGAGACAGACAGGTGACAGACAGAGATACTCACTTTCCTGAATGTGTCCCTATAGCAACCACGGCTCCGCTGGGATGGAAGTCTGCACAGTGTCCGTGTTCCTGAGAGGACATAAAGCTGTCAATCATCCTCCAATCAGCTGTCAATCATTCATTCAGCTGTCAATCATCCTCCAATCAGCTGTCAATCATTCAATCAGCTGTCAATCATCCTCCAATCAGCGGTGAATCCTCCAATCAGAGCTCACCTCCAGCGAGCGGCTCCACTGCAGGCGATGCTCCTCGGCGCTCCAGAGGCAGACCAGCCGGTCCTGAGCGCAGGTCAGAAACATCCCTCTGGAGGGGTGGGAGGCCAGACCCCACAGCTCGTCAGTGTGTCCCTGAACACACCACGGTATTACTGAGATCCTGAACACACTACGGTACTACTGAGACCCTGAACACATCACCACATTACTGAGACCCTGAACACATCACAGTATTACTGAGACCCTGAACACATCACAGTATTACTGAGACCCTGAACATGTCACGTTATTACTGGGACCCTGAACACATCACGGTATTACTGAGAGCCTGAACACATCACGGTAAATCACAAGTCTCTCCCCTCTCAACCTGCATCACCACCTCTGTCAAACAAGTGTAGACCACTCCCCACCAAAGTCTTTAAAGCTCCGCCCTTCACTTCCTTCCCACCAGAGACTGAAGAACAAAGGAACTGTTGGCACATGGAGCTGAATTGTTTGTACTTAAATCAGTTGATGAAATGTTTAGCTTTACTTTAACAGACTGTTTTGTTTACGTTAGATTTGCCTTCTAGATTCCCTTTGAGCCATACCTATGTTAAAGAAAAGACTTTAATCCTGTGGATGCATGAAATGATGTAAGTGGAATACTGAACCTTATTTATCATTATGATTATTGTGGTTATTGTAAGACTGCTAATAGTTTGTAAATATTCCTTTTTATTTAGATAAAATCATCCAAAGCAGCGAAACCTTTGTCATCATTTGAGAATAAAAGGTTCAAACGGCCTGATCCAGTGTTCCTACTGAGAGCCTGAACACATCACGGTATTACCGAGACCCTGAACCAATTATAACAAGATTAACAAAAACAATAATAATAATAATAATAAGGACAGAAATAAAAACAATAATATAAAGACAATAATCACCTGGACCTCCACCAGGAAGCCGTCGTTAAAGGTTCCTCTGAGGATGAAGTTACGAGACGTTCCCACCAGGATCTCGTCCCCCTTCCCCTCAGAAACCGCTCGGATGGTTCCGTACTGATCCGGGACCTGCACACACATCATGTGACCCCAGATCAGTGTGTGGGTCTGTCTGTGTGTGGGTCTTGTAACATGACGTGTTTGAGTTAATTTGCCTACTTAATATTGCACGTCCTAAAAAAAAATGTGAATATCGCGCATGCGCATAACGCGATTATCGTCACGTCACGATATATCGTGCAGCCCTAATGTGTGTGTGTGTGTGTGTGTGTGTGTGTGTGTGTGTGTGTGTGTGTGTGTGTGTGTGTGTGTGTGTGTGTGTGTGTGTGTGTGTGTGTTTGTGTGTGTGTACCTCCATGTCCCGCTCTGCTCTCACTTCCTGGTCCCACAGGATGATCTTCCGGTCCTTCCCCCCCCCGGTCAGCAGGCTGCCGCTCCTCGTCTCACACACACAGAACACACTGCCTTCATGAGCCTTGACCTGCCGGCTGATCTGAAACGCTGTTCACACACATTATTTTATTTTAACACTGATAATAAAACAGTAATAGTTTAACACTGATAATAAAACAGTAACAGTCAATTATTAATACTGTAATGGTGCGTTCACACCGGACGCGATGGGAATATTCGCTTCGATATAATCGCTCTCATCGCATCACTCTAAACGCTCGAGTTACACCGCGGCTGTCAGCTGTGACTTCTGGTTCTGGGTCTCACCTCGGGGGCCCTTGCTGGGGGGGGGGGGTCTCCGAGGCGCTGCGGGTCCAGACCAGTAGGACGCCCCCTGAGTCTCCGGTCAGGATGTCTCCACAGCTCAGGAACACCAGACACTGGATGAACTTCGGCTTCTCGTACTTCTGAGAGAGCCAACAGAATAACAGCATGTGAGTATTACAGGATGAAAAGACCTAAATATTCATTATGACTGGAGTAAATAACGCGTATATGACCTGTAAATAAACCATATATATCACGTATATAACCTGTATATAAACCGTATATAACGCGTATATATAACCTGTAAATAAACCGTATATAACACGTATATACCCGTTAATAACTCGGCTAGGAAGGGCACCCGAGGTGAGAAAAAGACCCAGAACCCAGACCGTATACAACCCATTTATAACCGTCATATAACACGTATATACCCCAGCCTGTATGAAAGCAATGAATAGACTTTGGACCCCGTCCTCACCCCGAAGATGCCCTGTTTCCGGGCCAGAGAGGTCCCGCTCCAGGTCCAGAAGAAGATGTGGGACTTCCCGCAGGTGACGATGGTGTGGGGGTCGGTGGGGTGGAACTGCACCTCCAGAACCACCTCGTTAGTGCTCTGGAACAGAAGCAGTGTTATCCAGCTGCTGGAATATTGATCTTTATATTTTCTATTAAATATGAACCCAGCTGCTTCACAGACTGGTTCAGGACACAAACCATTCAACTGATTTACACTGTTTGTGTTTTCTCCTACAGACTGATGGTATTCTTAGTATTGATGGTATTGTTGTTATACATAGTGTTGGTAATGGTAGTGATGGTATTGTTGTTATACATAGTGTTGGTAATGGTAGTGATGGTATTGTTGGTATAAATAGTGTTGGTATTGTTGGTATTGATAGTAACGATGGTAACGATGGTATTGATAGTAACGATGGTATCGATGGTATTGATAGTAACGATGGTATCGATGGTATTGATAGTAACGATGGTATTGATAGTAACGATGGTATTGTTGGTATTGATAGTAACGATGGTATTGTTGGTATTGATAGTAACGATGGTATTATTGGTATTGATAGTAACGATGGTATTGATAGTAACGATGGTATTGTTGGTATTGATAGTAACGATGGTATTGTTGGTATTGATAGTAACGATGGTATTGATAGTAACGATGGTATTGTTGGTATTGATAGTAACGATGGTATTGTTGGTATTGATAGTAACGATGGTATCGATGGTATTGATAGTAACGATGGTATTGATAGTAACGATGGTATTGTTGGTATTGATAGTAACGATGGTATTGTTGGTATTGATAATAACGATGGTATTGTTGGTATTGATAGTAACGATGGTATCGATGGTATTGATAGTAACGATGGTATCGATAGTAACGATGGTATTGTTGGTATCGATAGTAACGATGGTATTGTTGGTATTGATAGTAACGATGGTATTGATGGTATTGATAGTAACGATGGTATTGATGGTATTGATAGTATGGATGGTATTGATAGTAACGATGGTATTGATGGTATTGATAGTAACGATGGTATTGATGGTATTGATAGTAACGATGGTATTGATGGTATTGATAGTATGGATGGTATTGATAGTAACGATGGTATTGATGGTATTGATAGTAACGATGGTATTGATGGTATTGATAGTATGGATGGTATTGATAGTAACGATGGTATTGATGGTATTGATGGTATTGATAGTAACGATGGTATTGATGGTATTGATAGTATGGATGGTATTGATAGTAACGATGGTATTGATGGTATTGATAGTAACGATGGTATTGATGGTATTGATAGTATGGATGGTATTGATAGTAACGATGGTATTGATGGTATTGATAGTATGGATGGTATTGATAGTAACGATGGTATTGATAGTAACGATGGTATTGATGGTATTGATAGTAACGATGGTATTGTTGGTATTGATAGTAACGATGGTATTGTTGGTATTGATAGTAACGATGGTATTGATAGTAACGATGGTATTGTTGGTATTGATAGTAACGATGGTATTGATAGTAACGATGGTATTGTTGGTATTGATAGTAACGATGGTATTGATAGTAACGATGGTATTGTTGGTATTGATAGTATGGATGGTAACGATGGTATTGATAGTATGGATGGTAAGGATGGTATTGATAGTATGGATGGTAACGATGGTATTGATAGTATGGATGGTAACGATGGTATTGATAGTATGGATGGTAACGATGGTATTGATAGTAACGATGGTATTGATAGTATGGATGGTAACGATGGTATTGATAGTAACGATGGTATTTATAGTATGGATGGTAACGACGGTATTGATAGTATGGATGGTAACGACGGTATTGTTGGTATTGGATGAAGTGATACATTCTCACCTTGATCTCAGCGATCTTTGACTTCTTCTGCCACTCCCACACCGTCAGCATGTGGTCGTTACAGTCGTCAACAACACTGAGGTGCTGCCCCGAGTCCTGTGGACACAGACAGGTTACACACAGACAGTTTACACACAGACAGGTTACAGACAGACAGGTTACAGACAGACAGGCAGACATATGTGGACTACAGTTCCCATGATGCAGCTTGCTGATACTCACAGCTTTAGAGAAAGCCAGAGATCCGACGCCCCGCTCGAACGTTCCCAACCCGATGACCTGCAGCGTAGAAAGACTGACGGAGTCCCAGATCCGGACGTGAGGCTGCAGCGCCTGAACGCATCACAGACAAGTTTTATTCATTATTGAAAAAAGGAAACGCTGTGGCTTAGTTTAAGTCTGTTTTTTTCCCCTCACCCGTCCGTCTTTGTCTACTCCTGCAATCTGTCCCGTAGCTATCCGGATCTTATCGGGATGGATGGCCAGACTGACGGGGACACAGAAACATTATGTCACACGCAGACAGGCCAATAGGAGGGTAGAAGCTCATTCATATTTGTGTTAGTTCTCACCATTTGACGCAGTCGGTGTGTCCGAGGTAATGTCTCTGAGTCCGTTCCTCGTAGTTAAACAGAACGACGACTGATGCCACAAAGTAAACCATTTCTCCTGTTGGAAGGAGAAACACATTTGCTCTGCAGTCTCTGCCGCGGTAACCGTACCTGCAGGAAGTCAAGGAAGCACCTGGAGATCTAAGTGAAACCTTCTGAATCTACTGAGGAGCTATTGGGCTCTACTGAGGATCTACTAACGCTACACTGAGGATCTACAGTCTCGGTTGTAATTACGTTACTTTATGTGATGTTTAAATAAAGAGGATACACCCATTCCAGCTTGAGTCTTTCTGAAGGAAGCTCCGTCCGAACGTCCTCGTAGCTCTCCACGTCTGATGGAATGAACATGGTGATTGGTCGTCCTCTCATGAACATCTTAATGTGATTCCCCTCTGAAACACACGGACACGCAAACACCGTCAATGTGGAAATAAATGATCATGAAAGCAGAGGAACAATGCTGCTGATTAGCAAACAGCTAGGTTAAACTAAACCAGACTCATGAGAGGGGTAAGGCTCCGGAAATCATTTATATATATACACACACACAGTATATACATCTAGTGTCATCGCCATAGTATGATTCAAGCCAAAATCTGAGAGAGAGAAAATATCTACAAACAATGCAGTCGTTTTGTAAACAGCAGTATAAAGCATATAGAGGGACAGGTAAGTGGCAGGTGAGTGACAGGTGAGACAGGTAAGGGACAGGTGAGTGACAGGTGAGTGACAGGTGAGTGACAGGTGAGGGACAGGTGAGGGACAGGTGAGGGATAGGTGAGGGATAGGTGAGACCGGTGAGGGATAGGTGAGGGACAGGTGAGTGACAGGTGAGTGACAGGTGAGTGACAGGTGAGGGACAGGTGAGGGACAGGTGAGTGACAGGTGAGGGACAGGTGAGGGACAGGTGAGTGACAGGTGAGGGACAGGTGAGGGACAGGTGAGTGACAGGTGAGGGACAGGTGAGGGACAGGTGAGACCGGTGAGGGACAGGTGAGGGACAGGTGAGACCGGTGAGGGATAGGTGAGACCGGTGAGGGATAGGTGAGACCGGTGAGGGATAGGTGAGACCGGTGGGGATAGGTGAGACCGGTGAGGGATAGGTGAGACCGGTGAGGGACAGGTGAGTGACATGCGAGACAGGTAGTGGACAGATGAGATTTAGGCATAGATGGCGTGCAGGTGAAGCAGATCAAACAGAAACTGCCGTGTCATCGTTTACCTTCACTCACTCACTCGTGTTAAGTCACCTGTCAATCAATGTGAGAAAGGCAGCAGCGTCCAATAACTTGCTTTACATTTAGGTGGTGGGCTGGACTTCTCTTTGGTGCCCTGATTGGTTAGGGTTAGGTTTAGAGGTTCTACATTTTTGACCTTATATAGAGGTACACAACAGCAGGGGGCGGGGCCACAGACAGGTGTGATATCACCTGATCAGGTGGGTGAGAGAGGCTGACGACGTAAAGGAGAGAGAGACGTAAAGGAGAGAGAGAGAGGGAGAGAGAGAAACAGGAAGTCTCATTCAGCTGCTGTTATCATGTTAGCGTGTAAGCATGTTAGCGGGTTAGCCTGTTAGCATGTTAGCGGGTTAGCCTGTTAGCTCTTAGCTCGCTCTGACCACTCATCGACTTACCAGCTTGGCTGTTTTTCTCTCGAGTCGATATTTTGGCTGGTTTGAGACAAAGACAACGTCACTTGACAACAACGTAAACAAAATGAACACATACAACAACAACCTGTGTGGATCCAGTAAGAGTAAGCATGATGAGGATGAAGAGGATTGGCTGAAAAAACTGGCTTCCTATTGGCTGGTACTGATGATGATGACGAAGATGCAGATAATTACTGATGTAGATAAGGATGCATATTTACCTTGACTAACCACAGGGTCTCTGTGTCTGAAACGAGACAAGGAAAACATCTCACTAACCCTGAGACACCATAAATATTATTGTAGTGTGTGTGTGTGTGTGTGTGTGTGTGTGTGTGTGTGTGTGTGTGTGTGTGTGTGTGTGTGTGTGTGTGTGTACCTCTCGGCGGTCTTCACCACCTTGTTCAGCAGTCTGGAGGTGGACGCAGCTTTCTGCAGTTTGTTCCTGTTCTCCTCGGAGGAATCCCAGGTGCTGCTCTGAGAGCGCTCCATACCTGAGGACCGCTTCACACTGGGCCCCCTGACACACACACACACACACACACACACACACACACAAGCACATAGTATTAACATCAGGACTGTTACAAGAGGAGGAGGTCACTGAGCTTCGTCTCGATTTATCTCCAGATCAGCTTCATGGCTTCGTTTTCTAGATCGATCTATATTATTTATGATAAATATTACATATATAATTAACATTATATATATTCTATATTTTTGGACAGCGTGATAATGCACGCTCACTGAAGATGTCCAATCAAAATGACTTCTGATTCTGGAGACGGAATCTGATTGGCTCACCACCCTCCCACACACACACACACACACACACACACACACACACACACACACACACACACACACACACACACACACACACACACACACACACACACACACACACACACCCACACACACACACACACACACACACACACACACACCACACACACACACACACACACACACACACACACACAGTTAGTGAGCGGCAGGAGGTCCTCAGCTGGAGCTGGGAGGAGAAAGGGTTAGTAACCCAGAGAAATAATTTTCTACCAGCAGAGAGAGAAGAGGAGGAGGAGGAGGAGGAGGAGGAGGAGGAGGAGGAGGAGGAGGATCAGGGATGTCATCATATCAGAAATTAAGGCGGCGGTATAAATTTAGTAAATGCTGGATACGTACTCTCTCACGCTGCCATATCACCCTTAGCGCGCCGCCGTATCACCCTTAGCGCGCCGCCGTATCACCCTTAGCGCGCCGCCGTATCACCGTTAGCGCGCCGGTGTATCACCGTTTGCACGCTGCTTTATCAACGTTACCTTCATCAGATCTGCTAAAACCACAGCGGCTGCTACAGTCCGAGCTCTACATCAGGGTGCTCGGGTCTGCGTGGTCTGCGTGTAGGGAGGGGCAGCCCTGGTGCTAGTGAACTGTCAAGTAGGGTAGCCTCGCTGCAGGGACACGGTGGACCTCTGTCGCCTGTCAGCGCAACTTCAATGATGCCGTTTAAAAACACATTAAGGGCGGTGCCGGCCATGAGCGAACCGAGCCAGCCGTCAACTGCCCTTGACGACCAGTCACCCCCAACACCCCTACTTCCCGCGGCTAGGAGCTGAGATGGTGATGTTTAACCTGTTAACCTCTGAGCCTGTTTTTCAGGCCTCAGGCTCGAAAATGACCTTCCCAGAACAAATGACTATATCTTCACTTCTAAAAGGGTTAAATTAATAATCTTTTTTCTCAAAGCAATGATAAACCTGTGAGTTGGATGTAGAAGAGTCAGAATCAATATAGAATCTTTTTATTTGAAAGTAAATTCAGATTGAACATAGTAAAAAAATGTAAATTATAGTTTTTGCCGGAAAAAAAAACATGACTTATAGTGAAAACCACCCTTGAATGATGGGATAGGAGACTAAAAGCTTCAGGAATCCAAACTATAACATATAATAAGTACCCTGTATCAAGATTGATGTAAAACTAGTGACATTTGACCTTTTTAGAGAGGTTTACAAGAAAAAAAAACACCTCTGGGTACATTTGGGTGCATTTGCCGTATCTCTGGAACCCATTGGTCGATTTGGGTGATTGACACCTCTTTGTAACCGTTAAAGCCAATAGAATCGAGGGGAAATCCATCAAAACATTACCATTGATGAGTTAGAAGGATGCGCACGCAGTTTGCCCAAAACCGAAAGCTCCGTTACACTATATGAAAAATACGTTTAATGCCATATATATGATGATGGATTATCAGTAATCATTTCAAAGTGACACAGACACATTGGATTAACCTTCAGCAGCGTTTATATGCATTTTAATGCCATTGAACACAACTTTTGATCAGAAAACAGCAAAGGTAAGACGTATTTGCCGTTTTGGCTACGTAAAGTGAAGTTGTGTGTTTTCTTTCGTGGCTTTCGCTGCCGTGGGTTTTGGTCGCACAGTGATGCTACTTATACCAATGGAATCTGTGGAATCTCACCTTTCAGATGATATCTAGTTTGTGCAGATAGCATGAAGTATAAAATAACTCTACCGTGAGTTATGTGTTAAGTGTGTTAGCATTTTTTTCGCTTAGTGCTAATTTAGACGCTTGGTGTTACCCTTGTGTTTCGTTTAACAAAAAATGGTTAATATTGTCTGATAGCTGAGTTTCTTCCCGTTAAGTGGATATGACACATTAATAGGTTGTTAAATGTTAAGAAGCCCTGAGACACAGTTTCGTGAATATTGTTGTGTTTGCCGGCAGGGGCAATCGGGCTTAAGAGGTTAAAGTAATGCGTGCCGGCCGATCTGTGATTCTCCAGAACTGAAGGTCCTGGACTCGGATATCACCGGCCGATCTGTGATTCTCCAGAACTGAAGGTCCTGGACTCGGATATCATGACATCCTTCATAAGGAAAACACAAAGCTCAGCCTTCTACCATCAGAAAGTTCAGGATCTCAGAAGTGTCCTGGATCTCTAGGAGGTCTCCAGGAGGTCTCAGGAGATCTCCAGGAGGTATCCATGATCCCTAGGATCTCCAGGACTTCTCAGGAGGTCTCCAGGATCTCTAGGACCCCCAGGAGGTCTCCTGATATCTCCAGGAGATCTCCAGGAGGTCTCAGGAGATCTCAAGGATCACCAGGATCTCCTGGAGGTTAAGGTTAGTCAGAGCAGCACAGCAGATTAGAGATTTTAACCTTTTGGGGGTCAGGCCTTTACTGCTGTCAGTGGTCTGTGCTGGTCTCTGCTGGGGGGGGTGGGGGGGAGGAGGGGGAGGGGGAGAGGTCTTTCTGGCGAGGAGGCTCCTCACGTTCCTGGATCTCCATCATCTGAGATCTGCTGCCCTCCTTCTTCCTGTCTGTGCCACTGTGGACACAACCGGAGCGTGAGAGTCCGCAGACCACCCATTTAACTGACTGCTGATTTCACTAACTCTGCTGATTTCACTGACTCTGCTGATTTCACTGACTCTGCTGAGTTCACTGATTTCACTGACTCTGCTGATTTCACTGACTCTGCTGACTTCACTGACTCTGCTGAGTTCACTGATTTCACTGACTCTGCTGATTTCACTAACTCTGCTGATTTAACTGACTCTGCTGAGTTCACTGACTCTGCTGAGTTCACTGACTCTGCTGATTTCACTAACTCTGCTGAGTTCACTGACTCTGCTGAGTTCACTGACTCTGCTGATTTCACTGACTCTGCTGAGTTCACTGACTCTGCTGATTTCACTAACTCTGCTGAGTTCACTGACTCTGCTGATTTCACTGATTTAACTGACTCTGCTGATTTCACTAACTCTGCTGATTTCACTGACTCTGCTGAGTTCACTGACTCTGCTGATTTCACTGACTCTGCTGAGTTCACTGACTCTGCTGATTTCACTAACTCTGCTGAGTTCACTGACTCTGCTGATTTCACTGACTCTGCTGAGTTCACTGACTCTGCTGATTTCACTGATTTAACTGACTCTGCTGATTTCACTGACTCTGCTGAGTTCACTGACTCTGCTGATTTCACTGACTCTGCTGAGTTCACTGACTCTGCTAATTTCACTGATTTAACTGACTCTGCTGATTTCACTGACTCTGCTGATTTCACTGACTCTGCTGATTTCACCGACTCTGCTGATTTCACCGACTCTGCTGAGTTCACCGACTCTGCTGATTTCACTGACTCTGCTGATTTCACTGATTTAACTGACTCTGCTGATTTCACTGACTCTGCTGAGTTCACTGACTCTGCTGATTTCACTGACTCTGCTGAGTTCACTGACTCTGCTGATTTCACTGACTCTGCTGAGTTCACTGACTCTGCTGATTTCACTAACTCTGCTGATTTCACTGACTCTGCTGAGTTCACTGACTCTGCTGAGTTCACTAACTCTGCTGATTTCACTGACTCTGCTGAGTTCACTGACTCTGCTGATTTCACTGACTCTGCTGATTTCACTGATTTCACTGACTCTGCTGATTTCACTAACTCTGCTGAGTTCACTAACTCTGCTGATTTCACTGACTCTGCTGAGTTCACTGACTGCTGATTTCACTGACTCTGCTGAGTTCACTGACTCTGCTGATTTCACTGACTCTGCTGAGTTCACTGACTCTGCTGAGTTCACTAACTCTGCTGATTTCACTGACTCTGCTGAGTTCACTGACTCTGCTGATTTCACTAACTCTGCTGAGTTCACTGACTCTGCTGATTTCACTGACTCTGCTGATTTCACTGATTTCACTGACTCTGCTGAGTTCACTGACTCTGCTGATTTCACTAACTCTGCTGAGTTCACTGACTGCTGATTTCACTGACTCTGCTGAGTTCACTGACTCTGCTGATTTCACTAACTCTGCTGATTTCACTAACTCTGCTGAGTTCACTGACTCTGCTGATTTCACTAACTCTGCTGAGTTCACTGACTGCTGATTTCACTGACTCTGCTGAGTTCACTGACTCTGCTGATTTCACTGACTCTGCTGATTTCACTCTCTCTGCTGAGTTCACTGACTCTGCTGAGTTCACTGACTCTGCCGATTTCACTGACCCTGCTGATTTCACTAACTCTGCTGAATTCACTGACTCTGCTGATTTAACTAACTCTAGTGACTCTACTGATTTCACCAACTCCACAGATTTCACGAGCTCTGCTGATTTAACTGATGTCACTAACTTGGCTGATTTCACTGATTAAACTGATTACTGATATCACTGACGACCGGCTTTACTGACTACTGATTTCACTGAATCCTCTGATTTCACTGACTGCTGATTTCAGTGAAAACACTGACTGCCGATTACCCTGACTCTACTGATTTCACCGACGACTGATTTTACTGACTACACTGACTCTGCTGATTTCACTGACTGCTGATTTCGCTGACTACACTGACTCTGCTGATTTCACTGATGTAATTCAACAACAGGTGTGAATCGGAGCTGATGCTAGAAACACTCTGAATATAATGAACCTGAATTTGAGAACTGCGGAGAAAACTGAACCGTTAAATATAAATACATGATAGACCTGTGTGTGCGTGTGTGTGTGTGTGTGTGTGTGTGTGTGTGTACCTCTTGGCAGCAGAGGCCAGCGTCTCCTTCCTGGTGACGGAGGTGGACTCTCTCTTCCTGCCGGGGGTTCCTCCGTTAGAGATACAAGACATGGAGTATGCTTCCTTCAGAGCAGCACCACCTACAAGGGGGGCATGTTAGACAAGAACCAGTGAACTGGACCAGGACCAGGGCCAGGGCCAGGACCAGTGAACTGGACCAGAACAAGGGCCAGGGCCAGGACCAGTGAACTGGACCAGAACCAGGACCAGGACCAGTGAACTGGACCAGAACCAGGACCAGTGAACTGGACCAGAACCAGGACCAGTGAACAGGACCAGTGAACTGGACCAGAACCAGGACCAGTGAACTGGACCAGAACCAGGACCAGTGAACAGGACCAGAACCAGGACCAGTGAACTGGACCAGAACCAGGACCAGGACCAGTGAACTGGACAATAAACAGGTGAATAATAACGTACCTTTCCCTGCGCTCTGCTTCTTGCTCTCGGAGGCGTCGAGGCGTCGCAGAACGTCAGCGAGAGCCGCTTTCATCACGGTGAGCTCGTCTTCCTGCTGCTGGACCCGGAGCTCCAGAGAGGAGAGGCGGTCCGTCACCTCCGAGGACATGCTGTCATCTAGAAGATATATAATACATAATAATATATAAAGAGGGGAGAGGCGGTCCGTCACCTCCGAGGACATGCTGTCATCTCGAGCAGTGTTTCTCAAAGTGTGGTCCACGGACCACTGGTGGTCCGTGACCGCCCCCTAGTGGACCGTGAGTATATTGGTAAAATTTCACATTTGAAATAAATAAATACATTTAAGTTTTCCGCACTCTCGCGGGAATATCTCCGCAATGGAGCGAGCTTAACTTTCGATTGCATGATATAGCCCAGCGCAACACCTTCGTCACACATGTTGCCACGTGTTTGTACCGTTTTCAGGCGATTTGTAATCTGTTCTAGAAAAACGATGTGTTTTTGTTTTATTTCAAGAAGCGTATAAAACAAACAATGGATGTATTTATGAACATTTCTCCACGCTGGAAGTAGATTTAGATGTTAGGAGTGAGATAGAGAGTATAATATGTGCATCCAATGAAGCATTGCATGAAGCCTGTTGATGATCAGAGGCTGTTGTTGGGGCAGACCATGCAGGCCAGCCCGATGGTCACCAAGGTTCATGTTTTAATAGCATTTTTACAAAAAAGCCCAGACGAGCCTAACGTGTGAACAAAGGGCTCAGAGAGTTACACTTGTTTAGTTTTGAAAATCCACAGCGGAGGTTTGTGTCGAACTACATGAGGTGTGTTTTGCATTTCTCTCAGTAGCCAACGATCTGTGAGTCTGTTAGCTCGGACTAAACTCCGTAATAAATGTAGTCTACATTTCATAAGAGGTGTAAAACCTGAGAGCATTTTAAATCTTATTTGAACTAAATGCTGATATAATCTGTAGTTGTATTTCTATTGTTGATTTCATGTGTGAACGAGACGATGTAGAGAAGTGAAGCTGTCATTATTAGGCTGTAATTTGTTATAAACTGTTGGAGTGGTGAGCAGGCCTATTGTTTCTGGATATTTGGGGAGTCAGGGGGTCTGTCAGTGTTTTTTTATTGGTTAAGTGGTCCTTGGTATGAAAGAGTTTGAGAAACACTGATCTAGAGGATATATATTATATATATATTATAATATATATATTACAATATATATTACATATAATATATATTTATAATATATATATTTCTGTGATGTACACAGAAATATATATATAACAAATAATGATAATACTGTCAAATATCTCAAATGTATATTGACCCAGAAGTAAACACACACACACACACACACACAGACACACAGTTACACACAGTTACACAGACAGTTACACACACACACACAGTTACACACACACAGTCACACACACAGCTACACACACAGTTACACAGACACACACACACACACAGCTACACAGTTACACACACACACAGTCACACACACAGCTACACACACAGTTACACAGACACACAGTTAGAGACACACACACACGCAGCTACACACAGTTACACAGTTACACAGACACACACACAGTCACACACACAGCTACACACACAGTTACAGAGACACACACACACACAGCTACACACAGTTACACAGTTACACAGACACACACACAGCTACACACACAGTTACACAGACACACAGTTACAGAGACACACACACACACACGCAGCTACACACAGTTACACAGTTACACAGACACACAGACACACACACAGCTACACAGACACACAGTTACAGAGACACACACACAGCTACACACAGTTACACACACACAGCTACTCACAGTTACAAACACACACAGTTGCACAGACTTACACACACAGTTACACGCACACAGTTGCACAGACACACACAGTTACACACACAGTTGCACAAACACACACACACACACTGCTAGACCGGAAGTGTCCCCGCTCACTTCCGGTCTAGCAGTGTGTGTGTGTGTGTGTTTGTTTTGCGGATGGGGGGTGCAGTGACACGTGTCGCTGCCAGATCTCCCCGTGCTGCCGCTGCACGAGCCAGGACTCACCCAGACTTCCGGTGCTCGCGTCCATTTTTCCCGGGAAACGCGCGGTCCGCGCGGGAGGCCTGCGGGTGGCTGCGCGCGCACTGCGGGCCTCAGTGCGTTGTCCCTCCGCAGCGGGGGTGGGGGGGGTTAGATCCGGGTGTTGGGGGTCCGTAGGCTTTGGGATAGATCCAGCCGGGGAGGGGGGGGGGGGGGTTCCGGGTAGCGCGAGGCAAAAGATCCGCAGCTTTCTGCGGTTACGAGGAGCGCGAG